AATGCAGAGTTCATTAGTTTTGCGTGACATTTGGACAAAAAACAACAGTTAGACTCAATCAAGTATAAAAAAAACTGAATATGTCTTTAAATATGGGCAACAGACATCTATGGAATCTGTGCCAAATCATGATCAATGGGGCAACACTGATGCAATTTTATGTAAGAAATCCATTAGATACATGTATGTTTCACTATCTATATTATATTTAGAGTAGGGTCAGAATAGTACACCCTCCTAGTCTGCAAGTAAATTTATTTCTCTTACCAATATATGTAATAATATTCATGCATACTGTATAGCTCCAGTTCAAACCCACTGAGAAGATACTGTATCATAATGCGAAGATTATGGTATAGGACCCAAGTTCCCAAGCAGGCCAAATGCTGCCTTTGGGGTTCTTGTTTTAAGAGCATACTGTGAAGAGCTGCATCCACTTTCTCTGCCTAATGAAAAAACAATATTCAGCTCAAAGCAACCACAAGTGCTGAGATCATACTAACAAAATTCAGTATTTATATCTGCATTTATATTTTAAACCCCAAACTGAAAGTTTGATGCAAAACAACTGTATTTTCATACAAAGAGAAATAACACAAATGTATGTGATAACATGTGATGATCAAAATAGTTTTACTTAATTTAGGTGTAATATATTGCCTGATGCTGAGCACTTTGTCCCCCATGTGATATCACATCCTAGAATTTTGTGTCATATAATAAATTCTTTTCACCTTTGAAACACATTAGATATTCTAGCATTTAATGCTCCAGTATATGGTAATATGTGCCTTTTTTAATAAACAGACTGATATGTTGTCTAATGTTATTAATAAATATAGCATGATTAGTTACAAAGAAAAAGCGAATTTCCCCAAATTTAAGGTTTTCCTTAAATCCAATATTCCTAGATATTCACCCTTTTTTTGAAAGGGCAATGGAAAGAGGACAAATAACATGTATGGCATCTAGGAAGCATGGAGAACAACAGCAAGCTGCTTGAGCATTACAAACTGTTCCTAAAGTTCCCAGTTTCTCAACAGATGCTAAATGTACCTTTAAATATTCCTCTACAGCCAAATCAACTAGAGAAAAAATACAAAGCCATTTTCATGATTTTATAAACTGTTTGATGCCTCCTTATATTACCTCATCTTGCAAAGTAGCAAATTCTTCAAGAATATGGCCAAGTTTATCTCTCTGTCGAGCTCTATTGTGCCCATGAATCTGAATCAAACTACAAAATGGCTGAAAAAAAGATTAAGTTGATGTCAGATTTCAAAGTTTTAGACTTTATTTACACTGCAGATCTTAAGAACAATGTTGTAGTAGTATCAGCATACTTTGATGTGATAATAAATATGAAATCAATCTGAGTTCTTAGCTCACTTCTGACTTCTGAGATGTTGGGAAAGTTCTAACCTGCTTTCTGCAGGCTATGAGGATTGGAATGGGTAGAAAGGAACCGAATCCCAGCAAGAGGGAGTTCTGTTTGTCCAAAAACACTTAGTTCTGAAATGGTCTGGATGTGGTTATCCTTCCACTCAAAAATGAGATCTTTTTTTGACCCACTGGGGGCGGGTGTGTGTGTCTTGAATTCATGACTCCTGCTAGAAGAGTAAATGGGAGCTGTGGTCTGAGAGCCCTTTGCCCAGTTCTGGCTGGTGTGCCAGTTGTGGCCCTATCCAAACCAGAAAGCCTTGCCAACATTAACCCACCTGGTTGACCTTACAACCATGCATCTGGATTACTGCTATGTGCTCTACTTGGGAATGCCTTTGAAAACAACTTGGAAACCACACTTGATACAAAATGCAGCCACCAGGATGCTTACATGTGAGAGCCATAAAGCCACTACAATAGCTGTTCTCCAATAGTTGGCTGCCAATAGGCTTCTGAGTCCAATTCAAAGTGCTGATTTTAATCTGTAAAGACCTATATGGTTTGATTCCAGTGTATCAAAACCTCCTCCAGGTGGAATCTGCCCAGTAAGTACACTCATGCAGAGGATGCTCAGGGTCCCATTTCTGTAAGAATACAGAGGGACATGGGCCTAAAGTCAGTCCATCTCTGTGATTGTCCCATGCTTTGAATACTGTGCTCCTAGGACTGGGGCCTGGAGTCCTCCTTACTAGTTTCTCACAAGGCAGTTAAGACAATCTTTTGAATGAGCACTTGGGGGTTGAAGCTGCTATATTATCTGATGATGCGGTGATCATGTATATTTCATGTGTTGGTGAATGTCAATGCTCTTGGTTTGATTACTGATCTGTTGTTTAATTTTGTAAACCACCAAGAGTTACTTCAAGCTGGGCTTTATAAAAATATATTAATAATAAATACACTGAAGGAGTGGCAGGTAATTTGAACTCTGGTAAATTAGCTAGCTATCAAATATAAATTAGTTAACTATTAAATATAATACCAATTATCTTATGATAATTAGGAGTCAAAGGGAGAAGTCCCTATTGCTTCTAACTAAAGTCATATTTGGTGTGGCACATTTTTGACTGTATAGTTCAAATACAGTAAATTATCTCTATCTTGGAAGCATTAGACAATGTGCTTTAAAGAGGTATGGGCAGATTACTGCCAAATACTGAAGATTATAGGGATGGGCGGGCAGGATTGACTCAATACAAACACATCAGACTTTTAAATAAAAATGATTTTTTCACATGAAACAAAATCAGTCATAATAAAGGAGTTACCCTATTCTGTGGTTGTTATTATATACATTTCCTATGTGTATATGTTTTCTTCTCAATACCATACCAAAATTAAAGACTTTTCCATGATCTCTGCCCTAGGGATTATTGATAAAACCAAAATATCAATTGCATCTTACTCCAATGTTTTCCTATCTATGTACAATGAATGTGCTCCTCCTTCTGGAGGGCAAAATATTCCTTCAATAATTTCTCATCACTTCCTACTGCTCTGTGAAAGTATCTTACAGCATTACAGCTGAGAAATTTAGAAAGATAAGGGGAGAATCACAGGACTGGGCATCTGGAAACTGTTTCATTTTGAAATATTTCAAGCACAAAATTCAGTGAAATGCCACTTTAAGTGTGCAAATGGGCTGTTGTGCACTTGGAATGGGATCCTTTGTGAAATTTCATAACAAACAAGTTTCAAAATGAAACATTTTGTACATAACCCTAGCAGGATCCTCTATATTACTTCCTTTGCCATTTTACAAGGTGTTATTTTATAAATATTTTCTCCAAAGTAACGTAATATTTGTCAAATTCAAATAGGTAGTTGACTTTGGAACAGTCCGAGAGCCAGCTTGGTATAGTGGTTAAGGCATCAGGCTAGAAACCAGGAGACTGTGAGTTCTAATCCCACCTAGACGCAAAGCCAACTGGGTGACCTTGGGCCAGTCACTTTCCTTCAGCCCTAGGAAGGAGGCAATGGCAAACTACTTCTGAAAAACCTTGTAAAAAAAACTGAAGGGATTTGTCCAGGCAGTCTCCAAGAATCGGACATGTTTGAACAGGTTAAAAAAAAAAAAAGGAACAGTCCAACTTTAAAACATTTATACGTTTTGAAAATTTACCCTTTATTCTTACTGTATTTAAGTATTTAAATAAATGCATTTATATTTCATAATACAATCAATACTCACTCGAACGCAGTGTGTGACAAAGGAGTCAATATAGTCCTTAGCTTGGTGATTGTTATAAAGACAACATCTAAAAGAAAATGAGTGAAATTATTTTGAGTGAAAATCAAAGATATACATTGTCCTAAAGTCGAGGTGGGCAACCCAAGCCCCCCCCCAATTATTTTTTATGGCCCTCAAAGCATATCCATATTTCACTGCCGAAGTCTGGCATAAGACTACTAATCTTAAATGATGGGATTCTTCGCACCTTCAGAATCCTCAACGACCCCCCCCCCAATATTTACAAAAAAACAACTGAAAATTTTGGGTCATCTCCCTTGATGTTATCACATCAATAGCTCTCCAATCCTTGGAGGCTTTTTTAAAAGTATAGCTCATGAATAAAACAACTGCTTGCTTCTATCCCTAGGAGAAACACTTGACTTGGGTTCCCAACTATGGTTATGCCATATCAACTCCCAGACACTTTTTCTTCCTTAACAATGTTCAGTTTTTTTTAATTTACAGAGAAGTCTATTTTTAAATAGAAGTGACTTTATCAACACCTGTTTCTTAAATATTGGGAGATACTATAAATATGTAAATTAATACCCCAAATAGATTTTGCTACTCACTTAGGTGAAAGTACTGGAGGACTGACGAAAGATCTTAGGGCATCTTTTACCATGTCTTGCATAAGGTGAGTACCAAACACTTTTTTATTGTCAACAAGAAAAGTTGTCTGAAACAAATATATCTTCATTACTTTACATGGCTATGAACATATCTTCAAACTTTTATTGTATTATTTCCAACTTGCCTGTAACAGTGATCTTGAAAGAACACAAGGTGACTGTTCACTAAATTCACAGAAAAAATCCTAAGTTATAAACAGAGTAAGAAAACCACGGTTATCATTTTGCAAAAGGTATATTGTATAAAGATGAAGTCCAATGTTCCCATTTGGATATGTAACTTCTTCCATCAGCAGAAGGGAGCTCCCCACCCCTTCCACAACAGGACATTTGAGACACTTAGTTGAGAGTAATTATAAAAAGTAATCTCAGAATTCTGTCTCAATATTCTTTCACTAGCTGTTTATTTTTTAAAATTTCTTTGCTCTTTATGTTTTCTATTTTTTTAAACTAACATATGAAACAAGAAATTAGAATTTTTTTTTAAGTCTGAAAACATTCATGAGAAAGCCCTTGGAATTATTCAAAGAGGATGCCTTTGTTTCCCAATTAATAATATGTTAAAAGCATTAATACTTACTAGTATGCAATGCAAATTGGTTAAATTGATGACTTCGCATACAGTTTTGATTCGTTCTATAAGTTTTGAAAAATAGTTAACCATTTCTTCTCTTTTAATAATTTTTGCATATCGAGGAAAAGTTGGCGGAAGCAATCTCTGATTAACTAGTGGCTCAAAGCCCATCATTATAGGATGATCTAAAAAAATAATAAAGAATTCAGTTATGGATCTTCTTTTAAGTGCTCTATTATACAATAGTTAGCTGATCAAGGAACAGTTTATCAATTGATGAACAACTTTCAAAATATCAGTTTTGTCACTTAAGCAACTTTAGATTAATTTAATCAAAATTTATTGAATAGCAAAGCATGCAAGTACAACATAGGTAATAATAAGGAAGCAAAATAAAATATGATCATAGATTTTCGCACTGTTTTTCTCCGAAGGAAAACACTGTTGTCTAAAGAATTTATTGTGCATATGGATCAATCGCAAGACAAGTGAGGTTCTGAAAATCACACACCAATACCAGTGCTTTGTAAAGTCTGAATATATTTGCCAAACTGTAATAAACTGTTAACTAGGGGAAACCCAGTTTCAGTTCTACCCTCAGTCATGGAAGCTCAATGGGTAATTTTGGATCAGTCACTCTCTCTCCCCCAATCTTACCATTTTGCAGGGTTTTTATTTTGTAGAGAAAAAATTGGAGAAGAGATGCTCTTTATAAATCTCAAATAACATTAAATAACATCTCTTGAAAGTACTATGGAAACATTATGCTGTCAAGCATGGGAACTTTCCAGTATCTTAACTACACATGCAGTGCTAACATGAAAAATGGCTATTTCCAGTCACTTGTTCTCTTCTCAAAATTCTGCCATGCTCTACTCATTTGGATATGGTAATCAGCAAGAAAAAAGTGTTTGCATGGAAATCAAATACACTTTCCCATATTTGAATCTTCTATCAAAGGCTATCAATGAATTTTAGCTATACCTCCACCTACTTAATCCATTAAATAAAAGAACAAAACTCTTGGGTTGAAAAAGGACAACAGCTGAGTGCTGGGAACAAACTGGCCTAAGTTAGTGCTACCAAACTTTTAAATATATTGTATCTAAAATAATGAATAAATCACAATGACAGAAAGCTAGAAATCTGAACTTATCCTGCAAAGGAGAACAGAGAATGAATTGAAAATACTGTAATGAGGGTCCTCAGTGGGAAAGGAAGAAAGAATGGCTCATGGACAATCTGGATTTTGCTAAAATATTTAAGAATACTACAGCTGATCTCATTGAAACACAATGAAACACAAAAATGAGAATCCTCTTCCAACAGGAAAAAACACACTACCAAATATTTCTATTTCTAGAGACTCAGACCTGATGTACCTCCCAGTACTAATGGAAAGTTTTAAGTGTCTCAGGAAGAATGCCTAACTGAGGTAGAAAAGTTAAAAGGAAGTTATATCATGGGAAGCTCAAAGTCAGCTTAAGAAATATTTTCTGAGACTTTACCAACATTGCGATGATAGCTGCAAGCATCAGGCAAAACAAGAGATGATCCCTGTCTTGATAAGGTTAAATAAAAAGACTATGACAAGAGACTCATTTGGGGCTCTTGAATATTTGAATTTTAGCAAAGTAACCCTCTTCCCCAGCAACAGCAAGAGAACATTCCCAAAGGTAACTGCTTACCTCCTTTTGTTGTATCATTCTGAGCCTGAATACCATGATGTATTAAGTTGTGAATAGCAGAAAGCAAATCAGCAGCCTGAGTCATCAGTTTCTGAGCTTCTGCAACTGCACTAGTCTATTCAGAAGCAATTTTAAAAGCTTATGTATAATAATAAAACTATTTACTATTTCTTTTATAGAAATAAAAGAAAAGTACAAGGAAGTCAGTGCAAGTACAGTGTAATATAACATATTATAGTACCATATTATATTGTATCATATCCTTGCTTATGCATGTTGAATCTAAAGATGCATCTCAGCTATAAAAATTTAAAACCAATCTTACAGACTTGATTATTGTAAGATAAAACAATAGCTTAACAGGGAGTGGCAACATGGCCCCACATTCCTCTAAGAACTCTGCCCACTTCAAAATAAAAAAAACAGTTAAAATGAACAATATTAAGCAAAAACACTGAAATTTCAAACAATGTCAGCTTGAGATCCCATGAGATTTCAGCCATGATAAGAGCACTGACATTAACATGCAAGAGTGTGCACTGGTGCCCACAATTTTGAATTTCAGATATTTCCTTGTAGTTTTGCACTTTGCAATCAATAAACTGACCCTCAATTATGTAACCAAAATGCTGTGAATAATGCACCACCAGTGGATAAGCTGACCCTCAAAATTTTCCTGTTTTAATTTTCATAATTGGCTTATCTGCAGATGGCACATTTTTTATGGTATTTTGGTTAATTCAAGGGTCTGCTTATCCACTTATGGACACTTATGTATACACGAATATACAGGATATGCTGGTACTTTTAAAAAGTATAACTGTATATACTCATGGATAAGCCCATCTGTGGATAAGCCAAACTCAATTTTTTGAGTGTATTTTGGCACCTAAAATGCTTGACTTATCCACAATTATATATGGTAGTTTCTAAATGTGGGAGCTCTACATAACAATTTGACATGAACATCTAAAACAATTTGTTGCAGCTAACATATGTTTAATAATATTCAGTTAATCATACCTCTTTCTTGGTAAAGGCTATTAGTACAGTCAGTAATATCCGAGTAAACTTCACTCTGCTGAATACTGCAAAGCACTGCTGATGCTATTGTAAAATCAATTTCAAAATTAATACATTTAAAATTTTTATAAAACAGAAGGTTTGAAGTGTGAGCTATGTTCACTATTCATATATACAGAAGTTGTTTTGTAATTCTGAACACTGAAACATTTTTAAAAAAATAAATTCCCTTTTGGATTAGTTGAAAATAACAACAGTATGTATAAGAATACAATTTTTAAAATTGCACCTTCAATACGTCGAAAGTGCATGATCACCACTAAAAGTAATGCACAATTAAAGTCCTGCTAAAATCAAGACCAAAACAAACAGCCCCCCCACCCCAAGCAATCTTATGATTCTAACCAATTAGTCTTTTAGTATATATCCATTTTTTAAAGCTTAGGATGCTTTTTATGTAACCTTGCATAGCATGCAAGCTTCCTTACTTCAAGTTCCACTTCTGGATCTCTCTCTTCTCCTTGTCGGCTTCGAGTGCTCTAAAATAAAAAGCATTAGAACAATTTAATGGTACAGTGCTAATGAAGTACTGTATCAACTTCATAGCCCAGTGTCATATAAACATTATCAAATGTTTATAATATAGAACATTTTACCTATTTATTACACAAACATCATCTTTCTGTAATAAATAGGTAAAATGTTCTATATTATAAACACCTTAGAAGAAATCTAAGATATATTCTGCTTTGATAAGTCTTACTGAGAGACAAGCCAGGGAAATCTAGGCAGAATGCAGGCTTGGTCTGCAAAGACCTTGGTTTAAATTCCCATTCACTTATGGAATCAGAATCAAAGTACTTATGAAGTGTGTATCTCACCTATTCACATCTAAAGCAGAAGACTCAATTTTTATATTAAAATGAATGCATAGATGGCAAAAGTTTGACAAATACATACCAAGAATACTTGGCCTCCATATGCTTCTTCATTCTAGATACCCTTTCCTAGCCCCAATATTTTGGCTTGATTTACACTCGCACTGAAATGCTGTATTTGTAGACCAAGTCTCTGCAATGAACTGCACTTGAAGTGATGGTGGTCAAAGCTCCCCTCTACATGATTAAGACCACTCTTCTGTACAGAAAAGTGAACAAAAATGGCTACACCATCTCTTTGAGCCTGATCATATCTAGAAAACCTAAAGAGTGCTCCAGAAAATTTTTGTATTTTTACAAGTCAGCACAAAAGTAAACTATATGAATTTTAAGTATGTATCATTAGTAATTCAGCCCTACTAACTCTTGTTCAATTTAACTAAAGTTACAGGGTGTTTTTTTGTTTGTGTATGCCTTTGAGTCAGTGTTGACTCCTGGCAACTGCCTGGACTAGTCCCTGTGGTTTTCTTGGGAAGATTTCAGAAGTACTTTGCCATTGCTTCCTTCCTAGAGCTGAGAGAGGGAGACTGGTCAAAATCACCCAGCTGGCTTCATGCCAAAGGCAGGACTAGAGCTAATGGTCTCCTGGTTTCTAGCCTGGTGCCTGAGCCACTGCACCAAACTGGCTCTGAAGATAAAAATGGAAAGGAACCACAGCAAAGGCTGGTTATATATAAAAAAGTAAACAAAACCCAGTTAAAAGGCTTTTATTAAGTTGATTAATCTAAAAAAAGGATTTTGTTACAATCATCTTATATTCATCCCTATCTGATAAAGTCATTCAAAAATAAATTGCAGTTAAAAACAAGAGTTTTATATCTTGGGACAAGATCATAAAAATTAACAATGTAAAAGCCAAAGGACTACCAAGATCTCAATTCTTGCCATTATCAATATCTATATCTGTACTGAATATATTATACAGCATGTGAAGACTTTATTTTACATTCTTTAAGAATACTCAGCAGACTTGGATTCAGAAGTTTCAAGGTTATTTTACTAACGGCAACTCAGCCAATAATTATAATTATTAGGTGTCAAATGGAATATGGCAGGCTTATGAAATGTGGTTTCTATTGTGAGAGAATATGTATGTCGCATACTCAAGCACAAGCAGATAACAGGCTAATAAACATTATAACATGTATTATTGTTGGTCGCACAGTCAGCCAGATGTTTAGACTGGATTTGGCATTTTTATCTACCTATCGAGAAAAGTTTTAGAGAGCCAGCATGGTTAAAGTGCTGGACTGGGAGCAGGGAGAACCAGGTACTCCTTTAGCCATATAAGTCAGCTGGGTGACCTTGGGCCAGTCACTACCTCTCAGCCCCAATCTGTGACAAGCTGCCTGAAAAACCACCTCCCCTGTGGCATCCTGCAGTGAGAAGCTACACTGTAAGAATTAGGTGACTGAGCACAAAACAAGTGGACCCTGCAACTAAGAAAAACAGATGCTAAGAAGAACCTCAGCAGAGTAAAAAGTTTTATTAATTCTGTCCTTTATGCAGCCTAAATACTAGTACTGTATTTTTGGACTATGATTTGCCCATATTCATTATACCAGAAATAGCCTTATAAATCTAACTTACGAAATAGCCAACAAAAATACCTTAACTCGCCGTTGCAGATCATCTTCAACATCCTTTAGCATACCTGGAAAAAAATTACTCAGTTCAGCTGTATGAATGCTATTTGAAAAGAATCAGTTATGTACAAAAGTCTGGGAACAGAACCAACACATCTTGGTATTTTCCAAGACTCTTGGAAATCTGATTCTTTACTACTTTTTTTTAAAAGAAAGGCACCATGTATTTTGGCAAAGCAGCAGCTGTCTGATTTCCAGCTGTGTTAAACTCTGCCCCTATTCTTTCTAGTATGCCTTTGGGCCCCAAAGCAATCTAGAAAACTTTTCAGAAAGGAGAGGAGGCAGTATTACTTTTAGTCATCTACCAAAGATGAGGAATGTATTTCTACTAAAATAGTACAGAAGATAGTCAACTATAAGATACAGATAAAAATAACTTTTGCTTCAGAAAAACCTCTAATAGATGTGGTCAGGAATTTGCACTAAACTGACTTTGGTTTTCAGTGTGCTCCTAAGTCTCTTTGTCTCTCTCTATACAAGTTAAGAACTTGGATGTTCAACTTCAGTTTCTATCCCTACTTCAGAGTGTATGCATGATTATTACTTTTGCTTTAGAATCTTACGATTTGTAATAATACTTTGAAACCCGTTCAATATCTCTATGAAGATTTCTGACAGAGAGATCTTATAATGTGTCCCTTCACATTCTTCTTTTGTTTCTTTGTACTGTAAATATCTATGAAGTCCATTGGCTAGGTCAGTTCCTTCTATAATAGTTTTATGCCTGTGTTCAAATGGCCTTAGCCTAAAGATGACTTCTAAACCTAAGTCCTTGGTTTAGGTTTCGACTAGAAGTCAATACACCTCCAACCATGCTTACTGACACCACTCGTGTATTCAAATATAATCAATGAAGACTTGGTTTAGAGAATGGAAATGATTCACATGATCAAGCACCACCAATGCTCCTTATGGTGCAGTAGTATACTTCTCAGTTCAACATGCTATGGTTTGATACAACACAATTTCTTACAAACCAAATTTCCACACTGTGGCTTGAGAGGCTCACTCAGAACAGATGAGTTAACTTTAGATATAATAAATACTTATGCCTTATTATAGAAGGCCAACAAGCAAAGATCACCTGAATACAAGCAAAATCTTGCAACACTTATCTATGCATACCTAGCTATTCTCAAATCCTGATGCAAATAACAGTATGTATAACTTAGACTTTATTCTCTCAAACTAACAAATGGCTATATTCTCCAAGAAAAGAGACAATGAATTTAAGGTTTACCTGTAACTCGAAGATCCGTCACACTGTTTGCCATTTTAAATCCGTATGTCATGGACTGAAAATCTTCCTAAACACAAAAGGGGCGGGGGGAGGGAGGGAGGGAAGAGTTCTGCAGTCAAGGCATACTTGCCACAAGTAGCAACTTGTTTCACAACATTTCTGCAAGAAACAGGTCAGCCTGCAATTGTACACTAGGTATTTTCAGAAAACACTCACAGGACAGTTGGAAGACAACATAGGTTTTAACATTTGTTATTCCATCAAAGTTTTAGGAATTAAGACTATTCCAACTTCTGTATGATTTGCTCAATAGCACATTTTATGTATATAGTTTCCTAAATAATATAGTATAATATTGATGAAACAGGAAGCTTTATTAGTGATTTCAGGCTTAACTTATTAAACTATAGTTTAAATGAACTGCATTTCCCTAATCCAAACATTACAAGAAACCTTGTTTATATCTGATCTCATTCTTCAACTGAAGGAGAGATTTAATTGGTTTAGCCACAAAGCCTTTCTTACTTTATTGATTTGTTCATAATTACAATATATATATTGTTTTATTGGTATTTTAGATTATATGAAACACTTCCAACTGAGTAAGGGCAGTGCTCAGTACAAGAATCAGGGATATGTCAAGCATGAAGGAATGGAGAGTTCTGCATTTATACACGTAAGCTACCCTACAACTATGGGAGGGGATGTTCCAGAAAGTGTATCTTGAACTGTAAGTTAAACCTGGAAGCATATAAAGCAAATAAAATATAAAAAAACCCCAATATCCTGAGAAAGAGTATACTATAAGAAAAAAGACTAAGATACTAAAAAAAGTAGCATATGCAAGAAAGAATGGATAAAAACTGGAAGAATAGCCAATTACAGCTAGAGAGAATGGAATTTTATTTACTATTAAAGGGGAAAAACATCAAGTGAAGAAAAAACTCACCTCTTCAAATACTGCAGCTTTGTTTACTTTTTCTCTAGCAATATCACAAATTTTTAGGATGCCTAGTGCAAATGCCTTCATAGCAGGATCCTCAATAAAATCAGGATTATGAATGTACAGGCAGGTAAATACTGTCTGTGCCAAGGAATGGCCTTCTAGCCATGTTATCTGAAAATATTGAGTACATGATAAGGAAATTCAAGCCAATCACAGAAGCCATTTGAGGGGCATCAGAATATTTGAAACAACTTGGAATTAAATCTTGTTTTGTCCCGAGCATGGAACAAAAGTTTAAAAGATGAGTTGCTTTGCTGTACACACAAAACTCTTGAAAATGCCAATTTGAGCCTGGAATATTTTATATACTCCTGGTATAAATAATTCAAAAACTCTCTGCACTGAATTTTACATCACACATCTACTTAACTATCCTATACATATATCTAAGAAAGTGGCTATGATCATGATTACACCTACAGTGACCATATTTTCTTGGAAAAAATGAAGACAAACCTGAAAAAGGGGCAAATCTGAAAGAGGTTCATAAGGATAAAAAAAATTAATTGTTTATGTTTGTAACTTTGCCTTACCAAGAAAAAAAGAGCAAAACCAAGAAAATAAATAATTAAATTAAATCTAAAGGACAGCATTCTGAAATAGAGGACTGTCCTTTATAATAAAGAACTATGGTCACTGTAGTTACACCAGAAAATTGCCCCCAGAGTATCTAACCAGACCCCATTTATCTTCATTAGAGCCAAGTGGTTGGTGATGCTATGGTACAGTGCTGTAGTACAGCCATCAGAATACTACTCTAGCCAGGGCATTTTTAACATGGGCCATTATCTGAGAGCAAAAAAACTTCAGATAAATCCCATCCTATTTCTGTCCAGAGTATTGTAGCCTATTGTGCCCTGAAATTTAAATTTCATTCATGGGCTGTACTGATATATGACTATGCTTCCTGGCCCCCTAGGACGGA